TTCTCTCCTTTTTTTTTTCTTTTTTTTTTGAAACAATGATTACAGGTTTTTTTCAAAAATTACAGGGAAAAAAAAAAAAAACAGTATCAGTAGAATCGGTGTTCGTTTTCTTACCTAGTCAAATTATTATCATCACTCAGTAGTCATTAGAAATTCTTAAAACCTCGTATCTTGTTCTCATCTGCCCCTCAACATGCTTATCATGTTACACTGTACGGCTAGCATGTATTATTTATTCTGTTTACACCTGCAGCTTGTCGCTGATCTTGTGATCTGAAAACATTATTCCAGGTATATTTTCAACTTGAGCAATTGAGCCATGCAAATCCACCTTACAAGTCTGTCGCTGCTCTGAATTGTATAATTTTAGGTTGTGCAAATACATGGGATCTTGACCGTGCATACCAAACATTTGAGGCTATAAGTTCTTTTGGATTGACTCCTAATATTCATTCATACAATGCTCTAATGTATGCCTTTGGAAAGATCAAGAAGGTATACGGTATTGCTTTTCTCTTTTTGACATGCATTCACTTGAATGCTTGTTAAGCTTAGTAATGGATGTGATACGTATGCCATGTTAAGCTTGTTTTTACTTTCACAGAACCTTTTTTATTGTAATGCATGTAGGTTTTATGTCCATGGATTCTTTTATGGGTACATGGTTTTCTCAAACAGTAAAAAATACTTGGATAAGGCACATATATAAAATGAAAAGACACTCCCTTCTTGCTTGAATAAGACTTTTTTTTTATGTAAATGTTTATCACATGTATAAAGTGTACCATGAAAATTGTATGAGTTTTTTTTTTTATTATATTATGTGTAGTGTAGTAAGTCTTGTATTGAAAATTCAGTTCTCTCATGGCAGACATTTGAAGCTTCAAGAGTGTTTGAACACCTATTGAGTGTGGGTGTTCAACCAAATGCTATGTCTTATTCTTTGCTTGTTGACACTCATCTTATCAACCGGCAACCCAAAGCCGCAATCTCTGTAATTGATGATATGGTAACTTCTTTCATTTGCTGATTTTTGAGAACCCCCACCCCTCCTTCTCTCTTCTCTTAGTTTGTGTCAATAATAACTAATCAGTCTAGAACACTCATGTTTGGCAGCTCAATGCTGGATTTCAGCCTTCCAAAGAGATGCTGAAAAAGGTCAGGAGACGGTGTATCCGAGAGATGGACTATGAGAGTGATGACAAAGTTGAGTCCCTGGCTAAGAAGTTCCAGATTCGAATGGGAACTGAGAACAGGAGGAACATGCTTTTTAATCTTGACTACAGCACTGAATATGTCTTATAGGTAAAATCTACTGCATGCTAGATATATTTGCTCTGACAGGATTCAACTAAATTTCATCGTTCATATAAACCTCAATATTTTGCTCACACTTTGTACTTTCTCTCTTTGTCTGTGTATATTGGTTAACTTTTGAATCAATGTTAGGTTTTATACTTGCATGCTAGATTCATTTGCCCTGAAGGGATTTGACTAAATTTTTTTGTTGATAGAAACCTCCATATGTTGCTTGCTTTATGCTCTCTCTTTGTATATATTGGTTAAGTTTTAAGTCAATGTTGTTAGGTTTTTAGTTTTAAATTTTGTTCATGGGTCGAAATGAAATTCCTTGAATTTATGACATGATGTTGTGAAAGGCACTAGAGTGATTTGTTTATTTTGGCACGCCATTTATTTTATCAAACGATTCTGAGTATGATTTCAGTGGATTATGTTGTATCAGTGCCGAACATTATAATTTCTCTTGCAGGCACTCATCTCTTTTGTCTTGGAAACATCAAAGATAATACTTGCGGCAGTGGGTTTGCAATATAGTTTCATCATGAAGCTTCTTGTTTGTACATTATCTGATTATTCTAGGATTGAGCATTGGTAAGAGGTAAGTTAGGATTTGTTTTTCCATATTTTCCTGAACTTCTCTTTTTGTAATATTTCTGCGACTACAGGAGAATAAAACCTTTATCCTGAGGATTCATATGTTGGCCCTCCCAATAATTTTATGTTGCAATGCGTACGTTATGCTAGTTTTAATTCATTTTTCATTTGCGATTTGCTTATACAACATTTGTCTGATTGGATGGAATGTTGATGACTCACTTGGTGCATGATTTATATATATTTTGAAAATTATGCTTGGCAAGGGGAAATGAAAGAAGTCGTGTTAATATTATTGTTTAGTTTCTGTGATGGAGACTGCTGCATCAATAAAATTTTTATTCTGTTAACTATTTTATTGTGCCTAACAAGTGGCAAGTGCAGTGTGTATTCAGTTTGTTTTTAATAGTGTTTTAAAGTTCGCCGGGTAAAAAGAAACAAGAAAAAAAGTGGCTGTTTAGTTTACTTGATATTTGCTACCCAAAGTTAATACAAGTGATTGTAACTGTCCACGCTGGCCTTTCTAATTGAAGTTAGTGGTAAGCATATTGTTTAACTCAGCTCTATTTGAAATTAAAAAAAGAAGTAAAATAAAATAAATTAAAAAACCTCACCTCTATTCTACTTGTTTAAGAAAAAAGTTATGTCATTCCATTTTCTCTGTCATCTCATCGTAGAGGTAGAGGCATCTAAGTTCGTGCTTTCCAAGGCAAAAAATGCAATTCAGGGAATCGATAAAGTCGTTCCCCACCAAGAAGCTTAAAAGAAAGAAAATAAATAAATAAGTAAAGGTGTTATGAATTAATTTATGAATTAATTTATTATAGGTATTTTACTTTATCTTCCTGCCTCTTCACTTTTCATAATATTAACAAATTAAATAATGGTATAATTTTTACTACCTCTATGTGGTGGTGTGTTACCTCATAATTTCTTGTAATCTCTCTGTTAGTTAAAGTTTAATTTTTGTAACTTTTCATTTAGTTGTTGTTTATTTCTTATAACTCTTATCACTTGATCCTTATATATAGGGCGTGTACTCTTGCAACTGTATAAAGAAAAAAAAATAGAAATATAATATATTTTTATATTGTTTCATTTTGCCTCTCTAATTTTGCTTCTTCTTATAATTTTTTTTTTTCATGTTATCAGCACGATTTATCCCCATATGAATTACTATTCATAAATTAGATTTGAGGTGATAAACCAATTGAGATAAAATTCTAAGTTGATAAAGTTTTGAGGTAAGATTTTGAGACAAAATTGTCTTTCAATTTCTAATTTCTAATTTCTAATTTGAATAGTCTATTGTGCTATAATAATTTTTTTTTATTTATTTTCTATTTTGCCCTTGTAAAAAAAACCTTGAGTTCATTGCCCTTGATAAACTTGAGTTCATTGCCCTTGATAAATTAGAGTTCAACTATTTGTCATAAACTTTTAATGTGAAAATTTATTTACCTTCAATGAATTTTGAAGATTTAATTGTGAAGGGGAATAAAGTATCTTTTAAAAAAGAAAATATTTTAGAAAAAAAAAAGATTCTTGAAGGATAACGATGAAATGATATTTTTTATTATGAAGTTCAAAAAGTCTAAGAGATAAATATTTGATGAATAATAATGTATTGAAATTATGAAATTGTTTGGAAGAAAGATGATCATTAAAAGAAAAATGCAATTCTTCCAAAAAGCTAGTTGTGAACATATTCATTTATTATCTAAGTATGAATTTGTAAATATTTTGAATTATTTTTATGTGGACAAAATGATTATTAATGAAGATGTATTAGAGAAGATATATTCTTCTTTTCATGCCTTAAATATGCTCTAAAAGTGGCAATTTTGAGAAGGTAATTTTAACATGTATATTCTAAGTAAATATGTTTTCTTGTTGCTAATAAAATTATGAATTGATGAAAAATCATTGATTACAAGCATTGGTTTGATTCACTTTATGGAAGAGAACGTGATATAATGTTATAATCATGTTTATGAATATAGTTGTGAAATGTAACTATGCAAACGAAAAGATTTGCAAAATAAGTTAGTAAAGAATTTAAGAATTCTTAGATATGACATGAATGAATATTGGTCACATATCTTTAATATATCTGTTGACATGCCCAAATGAATAGAGTCACCATATATCCAAATGAGATGGGATAGATCACCTAAGTTTGTGTAGAGATTGACTAGAGTTGGCAGGTCGGTTAAGCGTAAGGAAGATGTTAGACAATTTACAACTTCAGTATAAAATATGGTCACCACATACTTTAACTCTGAGATATTTTCAATTTATTCAAAGAGTATTCAAACTTATCTTAATTCAGAAGGAAATACTGAATTTCGCATTCCTATTTAAGGCTTTTACAGGGAGGGAAGCATTGAGCCTCTTGTCCGATAATTAAATAATTAAAGACAATCTAGTGTCCATTTAAGATGAATCAACATAGTAAATAAACTAAAACGAATGATTTTGCTCATGGAGACAACACTAAACATACCATTACCAAATGAATACCTTAGCAAATAAATAATATGAGGAAAAAAAATGCACGTCGGCCAACCAAATTCCTTAATAATTCAAATAAAATTTCATTGCCTGATTCCATTATTAACAATTTTTTTTTTTTTCAGAAAAGACTTAATTAATCCCTTTCAAGACTAAACAAACTGAACCTTGATAACATGATTTAATAAAGAACAAAATATATATATGCTAAAATAACAAGGGCATAACTTGGACCATTACATAAAGGTACAGACAACTTCAACTATACAGAAATAATTTTTTTTTTGTCAGAGCAACATGGAGAACTTGAAGATTATCAAACCAGTACATATCACTTGATACTCACAAGATCCGTATGAAATCCGCATAAAAGGAAAATAAAATAAATGAAAGCACACAAAGGGAAGAATTTAAAACATAAACAACTGATCAATGTACAAATTCATAAGCAAAAATTAAAATTCAAGATAAGGTTAAGAGATTAGAAATTTGACAAACTAATATAGAATTAAAGGGGTTCTAACTATATTCAAAGGGAAAATGAATCAAGTACTTGTAGTTTAATGAAAAAGAATGCTCTGTTTTATTACTATCTCTGTTACTTGGAAAAGAATAATAGGAAAGATCTCATCTTGATAATGTCTTATTTGAAGGGTTTAAGCTGAATGCAATGCGCAAAAATTTATGCCAAAGCTTCATCTTCTTCCTTGAGATTTGGTCTTCATCTCTACTTCTCTATAGATGTGGTCTTCATCTAAGATGTAGTCTTTTCCTTCTTTAAGATGTGATCCACATCTCTTCCTCTCTTGTGATGCAATTTTCATCTAGGATATATTTTTTTAAGATGCATATACAAGTGTTCATATTCAATCCAATCCGATTGATTTGACTGAAACTAATCCAATCCAATTAAAAATCAAAATCAGATTGGTTTAGATTATAAAATTTTAAAACTGATATAACTAGTTTGGTTTGTAGTTTTACTATCAAATTGCTTGAATTACTTGATTACAAAATAAAATCCAATTACAAAATAATTTAATTAAATAATATAATATTTTTTTGTAATATTTTAAATTTTCTTTTTTTTTTGTACAAGATAATAACTCCATTAACTTAGTTAAAAACTAAAAATAGAGCATCCCCATACTTTCTAATTTATTTTTCCTTCTTAATTATATACTCTAACTCAAATTCTAAATTTTTAATTCACCTGCAACTCTACCTCTCAAAATTGGTCTATAACTCTATTCTTAGACCCCCTATATTTCTAATTTGTTCTTAAAATGATATTCTAATTCTCCTAACTAAGTTTTAAAGAAGTATAATTTTAGAAGTCTTAAAACTATATAATAGAATTAGTTTTAATATTCTACTATTTTTGAATGTTTAGTTGAGAAGTTTTAAATTTTAATTATGAATGTTTCTAATCAATCCTAATGATATTCATATTAAATTTTATTCGCTATTAACAAGATTTGGAAAATGAGATTGAATTATTTAGTATATTAAGTAAAAAATAGTTTTAACTTTTAAGAATTACTTGCACTGTATTTAAAATTTAAAGTCATCCTTTATTGTCCTTGGTGCCTCTGATGATGTAGCCAAAAAAAATTTTCAAATCTGTTCAATCTTTACAATTATAAAGGAATATAAGAACTTATTTATAATTTGCGCCTTTTATTATGTTTCTACTTGTTTGAATGTTAACATGTTTTATAGTTATATTTTCTACTTGATGTTAAATTTTTTTACATTATCTCATAAATTTAATAATGTCAAAAATTGATTAATCCAACCAACCCACACCAATCTGATTTAAGTTGGATTGGTTTGGTTACAATATAATAGTAGATTGAATTTGTTTAAAAATTTTACTAATCGATTAAATTGGTTTGGTTAAAAAAATATTAAAATTCAAACCAAACCACATCACGAACACCCTTAGATGCATACTTCATCTTTTCTTTTTTGATATGCGGTCTTTATCTCTTTTCAACAGCTTTAGCTTACACTTACAAATTAGTCTTTTAAGTGATCATATTCTTTGTAATCTTCCTTTCTACCCTTTCTTTGTGATCTCAGGAGTGAGTGAAACTCCAAGAAAAGATACTTGAGAGTGAGTGAAGCCTTTAAGAGAGAAACCAAGTGAAGTTGATTGGGGTTCTTTGTAAAAGGGAGTGTTTTGAGTGAAAAACACATTGTAAAAGGATTGGATAGCTCCTTTAATCTACTCTTGAGCACTAGTGGAGAGTGTGGAGAAAATCTTTGGTGAGTAAAGCCAAGGTAGAGGATGAGATGCCAAGTGGCTAAACTGAACCTTTATAAAATCACTCGTGCAAGCTCTACTTTCTTTGTTTTTCATTTGGTGGTTGCAAAAGAAGAAAAAATTTGAGGACTTCAATTCACCCCCCTCTTGGAGTATTTGAGTCAAGAGATCAAAAAGTGGTAACAAGTGAGATTAGTCCTCCTTGAAGAATGGATAATGTTCTCCAATGAGCCAAATCTTTGGTTGTCATTTGGCTACTATAATGTTGATTGTTAGGTGCTTTTAAGTTGGAGATTGTTTGTATACTAGAATCATAAATTGAACGAACTAAAAAAAAGAAAGGAAAAATGAGGGTGAGGGGAGTTAACACTTTTGAAATAAAAAGTTTGAATTAGTACACTTGCTTGCTTTCTTCTTTCTTAGTTCAATGATA